GGTGGTTCCGGTGGCAGGACTTTCAGGCCTTGGGCGTATTCCGTTGGCTCAGGGCTTGGGGCCTTTTTGATTCCTTTCTGTCCATACCAGGTAATCACCTCCAACCTATACCCATAAACTTGATTCAGATGCTGACTTTTTTTTAATACACTGTGTCATTCCCTCCTTCCACTTACCTGTCTTATCCCTCAGGCTTTCTTTGGGCTTCCAAAGACTGACTACTCTGGCCAAGAAAGATGAACCATCCTTATCTGAACTTGTGTCCTTGCAGTTCGGGGAAGGATCCTCGAGGGCCCACAAAGGTGCACAGGCCCCTTCTAGGCCAATGAGCACTGACTGCCCTTAGAGTGCATCGAAGACCCAGCCATTAAATTTTTGCAGCCTAGTGGCCTCAAACATGAACTAGTTATCCCGCCAGAGCATCTGTGAACCCTGTAGCTCCTTTAGGTTGTCCTACCAAGCCTATCTATGCCCTTGACAGCAGCACAGAGCAAGCCGGTTCCCTCTATGGTCTGCTCACCTGCTGCCGTAGTGCTCCCTAAGTCATCTCCGACCTCACTTCCTACAGCCATTTTCAGTTTCCATTTTCTAGACCTTCCCCGTCTTAATCGCCTTCCTTCGGCCATTTGCCGATTCTGCCAGGTGTAATTCTGCCAAGAGTCTACCATCTTGTGGCAGCCAGCCACATCCACAGAGGTATTTCAGTTTGTCAGTGATCAGCTGTGGTGTTGAGAGCTGAGCACAAGTCTTTCGCCTTGAGCAGGGACCCCTGGGGTGCCTAATAACTGTGATGCAATGCAGCTTGAGGCCACAGTGGCTTCTTTCTCTGGCATTTTTCACATAGTTAGCTGATGCTGAACTTAGCCGCTGACATGTCCGTGTTGTTTGGAACTTCCTGCACATTTGCTTTTCAAACTCTGCGCAGGACTTTACACTGATCTTTGCTGTTTTATCTGTCCAGCCCCTTGAGTCATTTTGAATCCTCATTCTGTCAGTCCAGACGTTTACTATATCCTTCCCTGTTCACCTCTTTAATAAGCCCTAACTCCTCAGGATTTGAGATTTATATAAACAAATGGGACAGGATGGGGCTAAAGATAGCCAATAATCCACATAGCCAGTGCCTCTGCCTCAGTCGTCTGCCGGTTCCCGCATCTACCTCCCGGCCCCCACGGACACCAGAGGCTTCCAGGTGCCTGGTTTAGATTCACACTCACTGCGTTTCTTTATCTGACAATGGCTGGGCAATGCCAGTGAACAGCATATAGAAACCAAGGAAGTAGCCGTCTCTTTCCTTCCAGCCTCCTTTCTACTCTCCGCTAGCCAGAACACTGGAGCTATGACTGCTTGCCCTCTTGTGTTTCCTGCATTGAAAATGGGTTTGTTTGATTTATTATTATTTATTATTATCACACTGGATGATAATCCTGGGCATTTATGTTAGAAAGCCTGCCAAAGCACTTTTATATTTATTATCCCGTTTTAGGTAAAAGTAGGCAGGCGGCTCAGAGAGTGACTTGCCCATAGCCGGAGACGAAGTCGGTGGCAAAGCCAGGGTCTGAGCGTGGTGCTGACTCCCATTCAGAGCTCGGGGACGCAGGGTGGTGGCTGGAAGGAGTGTGTGGAGGGATTATCGCCTGTCTCGGGATGAGGCACAAAAGAGAGTCGAGCTGAAACCCCGAGAGATATAGCCCGCAGACAACTGCACGATGCTTGGCCCGGCCTCTAAAAGTTCTGCCGTCAACAGAGTCATTATGACTTTGAGCTCTGGTCCTGAATTTTCCTAAAACTAGATACATTTTTTTTTTTTTAATTCCGTCTATCTTTAACAATTCCAAAAATCTCTGAATCTAAACCAGGCTCTATCCCCCTCACTCCCCTTTCCAACGCAACTAAAAAAATGTGGGTGGATTGGGAAAGAACAGAAAAGAAAGATCAAAACTGTGACAACCCTCTGACAACATTTTAACTTGAAAATTGCCTGTAAGTGGATGGCATAATTCCGTGTAGGCAGATGTAAATCAGGCGCACATTCACTCCTCTCCCTCTGTCTCCTGGCAAACCCGCTCAGGAGAAGGCCCAGAGTTGACTAACTCTAAAAGTTAACTCAACTTCCACCTGCCTGATCCCCCAGGTGGCTGCAACGTGTTCCAATGAACTCCCGGAGCCTAGGTCCCGTGCACGGCCCTCACCTCTTGCTGCCCAGACAGGCTGCATCTGGCTTATTTTCCCTAGTTGGTTGACAGTTCCCTGTGCACCAGCCCCCGTCTGCCCCCCGGTCTAAAGCAGGAAGGAGCTTATTAAGCGGTTGAGAGAGGAACAGAGAGTCAGGAGATGGGGCTCAAGTTCTAGCCTGCTGCGTCCTAACTGCGGCCTCTCTGAGAGCTTACTGGTCATTGATGCCCATCCAGACGGCTGATTCTACAAAAGCATGCACACATACGCAAACACTTCCCCAGGCAAAGAAAAGAGATGTGGGTGGTTCCATGCGAAGCCTTTCCCACTGGCGGGAAAAAGTCCTTCCCTCAGAGGACACTGCGTCACCAATCTAGCCTCTTGAGGACGACACCGTGGCTTGGCCTCTCCCCACACCCAGCCCTCTCCAGAGCTGTGCTTTCTCCTCTAGCAAAAAAAAAAAAGGGTTAAGTCAGAGAGCATCTAGAACGGTGCCTCCCCAAACTCGGGTTCTGTGTTCTCTGTAGTTCCTCTCCTTTGAGGCTCCCAGTCATCTGACATCTGATGCCTGCCCCCACCGGCCGCCCCCTGCAGCTCTGTAGCACCACAGGGGCTACCTCAACAGTGACACTTACTGCTAATGACGGTGACAGCTGCAGTGAGGGGCGCTTCAGGACAGGGGAGGGGTGGGTGCGGGAGGAGGGCAAGGGGTTAATTTGATACCTTCCACTTTTCAGAGGAGATAAGGACCGGAGGGAGGGAGGGAGTGACTTCCCTCACAGCAGACCTCAGGTCTTCCTTTCCCCCAACATGACCTCTCCCATCAGCAGAAGTGTGTCACTTAGGGTGCAGTACTTAGGCCCAGCACGAGAGTTCAGGGGGAGTGTGCCCACTGTGGCGAGAACCCGCGAGAGCTGCCATGCCAGGGGACCGTGTGACCTGACAGGGCAGGAGCAGGCTCTCGGCACAGAGTGCCATCCTGACACAGCTGTGCTTCAGCCCCAGGTGCAGGAGCGGGCCGCACAGAACCGTTCCCACTCCCTGAGCCCTGGTTCCTGTTTCCCCACCACAGCTGAAAAAGAAGGCCTGTGCCCCAGCTCTGAGATGTCCCACCCAGTAGATCCAGGGGCGTCGTCAGCATCTCATTTCCTCTTACTTCCCAGGCGGCCCCTTACCCTGCCCTGCCGTAGTGGTTCGCCTCAGGTTGGTCCTTAGAAGACTGGGGGCTCCGTTGTACTCAGAAACCTTTCCTGAACCCCTTGCCCGGTCCCTCCCCCACCCAAAGCCTGCATGCTGAGTAGTCCAGCCCCCAAAACTCAGGTCCCAAGAAGCCTGAGAAAAGGTTAGAGACACTATGTTTCTTCCCTCTCTACCTTTGTGGTTCTCTTTCTGGCTTCTACCCACCAACCGGTCATGAGGACCAACAGCATCCATGCTCGTGGCCTCCTCAGGCATAGCCCAGGCCACCGCTCTACCTTTAGCCCACAGCTAGCGCAGACCAGAGTGTGTAAGAGGGAGGAGAAAGGCAGTGTGGACAGGCCATAGCCCCTGGCTGTCCGTTAGAACTCCCAGGACATTACCGCTGCCTTGGTCTACCCGGCGTCTCTGGGACAAGGCTCTGGCTCTGGCGCTTTTCAAGGCGTCCTAATTGTCTCTTCTGAGCAGCCAGTCTAGAGAACCTCGGACTGATGTAACAGTAAAATAGAACCCAAACCTCTCTGTGTTGGTTTGGGGATCGTCACATAAGCTTCTGTGTCGTAAAAGTATCAAGATGTGCCCTGGAATGTTGCCAGGTGTAGGAACCAGGGTCATGATCTGCGGAGGGGCAGACGCTTCCACTGTATTTGTGATGTTTCATTTCTTAAGCAGAGTGGTGGGGACAGGGTATTATGTTGTACTTTTCAATTTGGTTGAAATAAGTTAATAAAGAAAAAAAAAAGCGTGGATTTTGCAGTCAGACCGACCTGGGTTTTAAGTTCACTTCTGCCACTTATTAGCTGTGTGACCTGGGGCAAGTACTTAACCTCTCTGTTCAAGTACTTAGTCTCTCTGTTTAGTCAGCTGTAACATGGGGCTCCGAGGGCTGCAGGAGGACTACCTGAGTTCTAATATTCCTTCCCCTGTCCCTGCCAGACCGTGCCCGGCCCTCAGGCCGGGGCAGGTTGCTAACTTCCCCCTGGGCCTCCAACTTCTCCATCACAGAAGGATGGCATCATCTCCTTAGGCAAGGTGCCCCCAGACGGGCATGAGGGCAGGAAACACCTGTTCCTTATAGGTTTCTTTGTTGAGAGTAGGAGGAGGGGTGACTCCAGGGGAAGGCAGTGTAACTCCAGCCCACATCTCTTTCCAGATCCTTCTGTGGTCTCTCAGCCAATGGGTGGAGCAGAGCAGCGGGGAGGGCAGGGCACAGCTCTGAGAAGGTAATGTGCAAGGAGATCGATCTTCTTCAAAGGACTTTAGGAAGGTAATGAGGAGGGAGGATACCGGTCCCCACTGAGGGGACACCTAAGGCTGCAAGGGTCAGCGGCCTCTGGAGAGCAGCCAGGGGGAAAAGCCCTCCCCTCCCACAGCCCCTCGCTCAGGGACACAGGACGTGGGACTGTGCATGGGTATTTAGAATCCAGCGCAACCAGGCAGCCTGTTCCCTCAAAGGATGTGAGCCTGGGGAGGCCCCCCCGAGCAGGCAGGGTGTCTATCTGTCTGCACATATGGTTACACTCTTGCATGTGCAACACGCACCTGTATATGTGTGCCAGGCCTG